AGGGGATGGGTACTCCAGCTAGTTGTAAATAATATTTAGTAAGTTGGGCGACTGTCATTACCACTTTCACTATTGAGCTATGATTTCTTATTGTATTATATAGAATGTCCAAAAAACAAACAAACACAAGACGAACAATCCTTTACATATGCTGAAATGTTACAAATTTTCAGTTCATTCAGAATATTACCCCTGTTACTGATGTTAAGATGACATACCTCGTGTGCGTATTAAATGCTTAACGCTGGTATCTTCACCACGACCAGCATAGCTAAGTTTATTACTTTTTAATAAATTGGTGGGAATTATATTAAAGAGAACTATAAGAACGGTCCCATAAATTATTAATGTTTTTTTTTTCTATGAATGACAGGATGATTCTAGAACTATAGTAGGTTGATAAACAAACATCTGTGAAATACATAAGACAAACGACATTGACCAGGCTTGTAAAATGTCTCCAAAACCAATGTTTCTAAAGACTAAAAGAGACATTTCATTCAACATTTTTTATGGAACTGGAAGAGGCGACATTTACACAGCGTTTAGGACAGGAACGAGCTCCAACGCAATATTATTAAATCTTAGACAGAATGAAATTTCATATACTTGTATAAAATCATCATAAATTATAGTTAAAAAATAATAAAAGATAAACGACAATAACATCTTGAAGCTATTCCATTCTTAAGATTTTCATCTTTTTTCAAGGACCGTTGTCAGGGCAACTGAACGCACATTTTGCTGATTTTATATGGGCTGAAAAATGAGTTAGTAGTCAACATTTTGCAGTGACCTCTCTCTTCAAGTGCTAGAAATATGAAATATTTTACACATTCTAATAAAATTCAATCAACGTGACGATCTGAAAGACTATCTCCAATATATATATATTATCGAACATAAACAAATTCTGTGCGAAAACTTTGTACTAGTTAAAGTTGTAAAGTTATCATACAGTATAGTTATTTTTATTTCTGTAGATTTTTTTGTTTGAAATTAAGTACAAAGCTACACAATGGGCTGTCTGTGCTCTGACCACCACGGGTATCGATACCTTGTTTCTAGCGTTGTAACTCAGCAGACATACCGCTGTACCATTGGGGTACACAAAACAAACAAATCAGTACTTTTCCTGGGATTTTTGAAGATTGAACAGTAAAAAAAAAAAAAAAATTCCCATGTAGATGTTCTAAGAACTCATGAGTGAAATCAAAGGAGAATATGTTATAATATGTCAAGCACACTACATCTAACATATCCAGTTCCGACGAGACCTTTCGCTCAATACCAAAGCTCATCATGTTGGCTTGGGTATAACAAATATAGCAATTGTTATCAATGTACTTATCTAAATACTTTGATCTCCGTCGCTTTTATCCACAGTTTAGTGCTCAGCAGTAAGTATGAAGGGTTATATCGCTAAAACCAGAGTTCGATCCCTGCTATGAACATAGCCCAGATAACCCATTGTACTGTTTTTGTGCTTAACCATAACTATCGCTTTTTAGCATAAAATATTTAATTTTCTGAAATTAGAGCAACTAAATGAATTTATTTCTTTTGCAAAATTAAGTTTACAGACATACAACACTAAAATACGATGTTCGATTCTCCGCGATGGGCAGAGCACATTATATAACTTGGCACTAAACGACAACAACAATAGTTTGTATAAACTTAATAGAGGAAAATAATTTATTATTAGTTATTGTTCATAATTATTTAATAATAAGTTATTATTTATTGTTCATAATTATTTAATAATAATTTATTATTATTTATTATTTATAATTATTTAATAATAATTTATTATTATTTATT